CATAACCATCTGTATCATGAGCCGGATCTCTACTACGATAAATCTCATAGGCACGTTTGATGAGTCCTTCATTATTAAATTTCAATATCCCACAATTTCGTATCATTCCGGCAACACATCTCACGATGTAAGCACCACGACTAAAGCCGAAAAGCCATATTTCTTTACTTTCGAATTCATTAATTTCTTCATTATACTCTTCGACTATCTTTTTGTAAGCTTCCATGATGATATCATCAAGTTCTAGAGCTAAAGCTCCATTTAGAAAAAAGAATATATTTGATACCTTTGTTCCTACTCCTTGCCTGTACCAAGGTTGTTGTCCTTGTTTCATTAATAGCTGATACAAATCGTAAACATTGGTTTTAGTACTCAGACCATTCCAAGTACCATCACACAGTACAATAATATTTTTGACTCGTTGAACGATTATATAATGTTTCCTTCCCATCTCATCAGAAAAATATTCACTAATCTTTGAGAACGGAGGTAGTTCCTCACCATCAAGTTCGTTAAGCAAATTAGAACTGTTAATGTTTAACCTTTTCTTATCTTGAATGTCGACCTTCCATAAGTTAAATTTGTTGAGTCTTTTAGCGTTAACGTTTACGACATCCTTGATAGTTTTCTTAAGGATATTGACGGTCACGTTAGTTTCTACAGTAACTTCGAAAAAGTTATTTTCATTGCTTTCACCAAAAATAAAACAGTTTAGAGTAATAGACATGGTTATATAAATGGCCTTGTTGAAGTTGGGGGAAGAAGAAAAAAAGAAAATTTAAGGGGTGAAAATAGAAAATAATCGAACATGACGATCACAACCTTTGTGATCAAAAAAGAGACAAATGGTTCCGATCTACGTTTTGCATATGATATGAAGCATTTAAACTACCCTTTTTGTAGTCTGTTTTTTGTAAATTGCGATATAAAAAGCAATATTACATAAAAAGCATTTCGGATTATTATAAATATTATAAATATCTATTTTAATAAATAAACCAAAATTTTGAAACTTGACAAATCCTTCAAAAAAATAATAAAAAAAAACTCTAGAAAAAAAAATATATATATATGAATTTCTATAAATAATGAATAAATTAATTAATTGTCTTTAATATTAATTATTAAATCATCGTTACTATCGCTTTTTTCGAAATTTTCTTTTCCTTTTCCGCCAAAATTTTCATCTAAAAGGATTCTGATTTCGTTAAGTAATTCTATTTTGGAATTTTTCCAATCATCTCTAGTCATGAATCTATTCATTAAATCTTTACAATCGGATTTCGTCATTAAATTATCACAATCAGCTTTTGTCATTGGTCCTTTATTAAGGACTTCCATATCTGCCAACCTTCTTAATTCATTAGAGATGTGTGGCGTGCTATTCGATGGTAGACTGTAATCTATTTTTGTGATCAGTTGTTTAACATCTTCAATTGGGGCTTCGTAATATCTGCAAATAAAAAGAAAGGTCAAGATGGTTTCTCTCTCTTCACATGCAGGCTTTTTAATCAATCAGGAACTTACATCACATCTGGAAACCAATGTCTCCATCTTCGTTGATTGGGAAGCAAAAGAAACATCTCAATTTCGGCCAAAACCTTTGCTTTTTGAAGCAAGAATAACGAATGTGACCGATTTTCCTCAATCTCCAAATTAAGTAATCCAATAAATAAGTTCATGAGATATATTACAACCAAGAATGAAAACAATGTTAACAAGAACGCCATGAAAGGGTTTGCCTTATATGACCATGAGCTGAGCGCTGATGAATCTCCCGTCAAGAACAGATACATGGCAAAAAGTGAAGTTTCATAAGTGGAAAATTGATTTAAAGAATCTTCGGGTTGTTGAATCAGAATAGGTTCGGAACTGATTTGACCATTTGGTGAAACCGATTTATATTCGGTGACAAGATTCCAAGGGTTATTTGGGTCAACATTAACAACAGGTTCATCTAAACTATAATTTTCATTCGGGGATAAAATAATATAAAAAGCGTGCGCAAAACTAATAATAATGAGGAATAATATGAACAGAAAAAAAAATATCTTCCTGGCCACACCAATGATAATAGTAAAATAAGAGCCGAAGTAATGAAATACTCGCAAAAATATCATAAATTTAAAGTGCAAGAATAGGTTCGATATGGAAATCAGAGGTAATGACGGTTTTTCATAAGACAACCAATATATCGCAGTATATACTGGACAGATGTATGCGGAGAGATCTAAAAAGTAAAACAAAAAAAATAAATATGAAGCGTAATTATTTGATGAATCAAACCGGTAGCATACCAAACCAATTCCATGGATCTGTGATATATTTCGTCCAATCCCAGATGATTTGTCTAATTTCATGAATGATATGAATTAAACCGAGAATAATGCTAATCAATAAAGCAATGTCTCTTCCGTCATTTGATATAACGGATGAAGACAAGGTTGTAACAACCCCAAATGTAAGCAAAAACGCGGAAAAACTTCCCCACATGAGAAAAAAGTAATATTTTCCAAAAGTATTCCATTTGAAATTAAGCAATGCCTCAGCATTCCAACATTCGTAAAATATTTTGTCATCCATAGCAACAAATTGGTTCCCTTTTGGTTTTAACAAGTCAGACCAGAAATTATATTTCGGGGGATATTTCGTAAAACCCAAGTAAGGAATGATTAAACTTATTACCCTCGTGTTTTGAGCTTTTTTATAACTCGTACTGCAACAAAAATTGAGGATAGAATTCCAAACATTTTGAGAGTCATTATGTTTATATACTTGTACGGTATTCGGATGATCAGTATAACCAACCATTTTGGTTCGATCAGAAAAATAAGTTTTATGGATGCAAGGATTTGGGACGATTAAAGTAATGGATATAAACCTTGAGTAATAAGTATTAAACTCCAAATTTAACATTTGCAGATATTTTGTGATAAAGCTGCAGAATCTATAATGATTCACAATATCGTTGGTAAGTAATTCATATAATTTGTATAGGCAAGTACGTAACATCTCACGTTCATTATAAATAATAGCATTATTAATCATTTCATCGCTCATTTCTATGATATACTTTCTTGCATGCAGAAGTTCGCTGATTATACATGAAATATCTTCGTCTAGATTGTTTAGAAGGTTCAAGTTTGGGCTCGGAAGACTTTTGCAATTAAGAAATGTCCTAACATCATGATAAAAATATTTAAGAACAATATTACTAGATGTCTCATTAAAGCCAAAAATGATGATTCCAGATTTGTCGTAACATACAAGGTCATCATTATCTAGAATTATGAGTCCCTGAATGTCAAGCTTTAACCTCTTGAGTCCTAATATTGGTTCATTTTGTAGCTGATCGATTTGTTTAATTTGACAAATGCCATACTTATCTTGTTCGGTTTTATTATAAACAAATAAAGATCCGAACGTGATAATCTTCCATTTCAATTTTTTTCCTACGGCAATAATCCCATCATCTTTTTTGAAATTTTTAATCGTTCCCTCATACGAATCTCTTATGACTTTGAAGCTTGAATAAATTGCTAGATTGGGATTACGCTTCATCTGATCATACAACTCATTAAGCATTTTGATAATTTTCTCAGGAACGATAAAATCTATCAATTTGATTTTGCCGCCACAGCTAAGTATAACTTTACTATATTGAGAGGTTGGTGGTTCAACAATCGTGTAATTTGTAACTTTGGAACCGTGGGGTAAGAATTCTTGGATATCATATTCATCTACACATTCGTATGCGGTCTCATATGGATCCATAATCATGTAAATAATCCTCTCATTTTCTTTGTCTAATGAATATAAGACCAAAACCTCAAGATTATTACTTTCTAAAAATTGAATTTTTATGTCTTCACCCTCAAGTACGACTTGCCCTGAATAATGATTGGTCGATCAGTCAAACGTTGGTAAGATAAGAAAAATAAAAAACCCAGATAAAAAAATAATCCTAGATGGCCACTCACTTGATGATACTTGAAGACCATTTTTCATTGAATATACATATAATAAGAAAGAGTTATGCAATGGGCTCAAGTGTTTCAAGTAAATTGCGAATAAGCTCTTATCACTATTTACTACCCCTTTCCAAATACAATTCTCAAACTTTTCACATGGAATTCCTGAAACGACGTAGTTGTTTTCAATAGTCCATTTTTCGGTATTTAAATGAAATATCATAACAGAACCTTTGAGCGTAAAAAAGATTTGCCCATTTATTTGTCTTATTCGGTTGATTTGTCGAATATCGATCATGCCTATACCCCAAAGGTAATATTTTGATGAACTCTTTAAATTATTTGAATTTTTTAAGGACGTTTCCGGAACCACATGTATATATTGTGCTTGAAACGACAAAAGATCTCCATTCGGAAGTAGTTGCAAGAAATGACCATTGGTCAAATAATGTTTTATCGCAATGTCTTCCAGAGTCCCCATATCTCGGATCGTTAAATTCGAGTAACCGTAATAATTATTCTCGTAACCCAAAATCAATAATTTATTATTTAATAAACCTAGTAATGAGATGGCTTGATAATTTACAACCATTTTACACTTGCATTGTGTTTCTTTTTTGATAATATTATTTTCTATGTCAATGGTCCACATAACTAAGGATTCATCATCTTCACTACTTGTAACCATATATTTCATATTTGGTGAAAATATAATATCCGTAATTTCTTTCTGAATATAATTTTCAATATCTTTAAAAGGAATTTTTTCGTAATCATTTTGATCATGAGTATTAAGCATATTCCGAGATAACGATGTTTGATTTAACGTAAGGTCGTAGGAGAGTCTTCAAAGAATTTTTATATACACGCCCAGAATTTTTTTGTTTGTTACACGACAGACCATTTCCTTATTTTACAAAAATGGAAGCGTGACACAACATTTTGTCAATCATAGTCGAATTCAAAAAAAAAGTTCTGTACGTTTGACGAAAAATTATCTTTGATAAACAGACATAAGGCATAGGGAGGTTGAAATGTTTTATCAAATATTAAAAATTTCATCTGCCGTGGAAGTCGTTGTGTATCCATCCTAAAAATAATCTGTTAATTGAAAGCTCTTCGTTGGGTACACCTTTGAGAAAGTAGAAACCTTGAAGGATGAAGGTCTAATGACTCTGAATGAGGAATTGATTATGCATCTTCCTTCGTAAAAATCATAGAACTTATAAATTAAAGTATTTGTTTACTCTCTATAAGAATGATCTCATTCTTTCTGTGATTCTTCTCTGATTCCGATACCTTCCATGTCCCTGAAAGTTAAACGTCTTTTCCCTTCATACAGTACAATAAATAACTCAATTATAATTATTGTGCGACAATAAAATTTCGCTAATAATAAGGTTACACAAATTTATTTCGAGACAAAAATAAATTTAGTAGTCAACATTTATGAAAATTTCCATATTTATAACCGTTATATACATGGATATTTATTTTTTTTTTTTTTTAAAAAAAAAGTAAAGTTCTGTTCAAACTGCTTCTCTGTGTATGTTTGAATTCATAATGTTATTTGCTTCGAAAGGCTGACGAATTTATTCATGAAAATACAGGAAAAATGAAAAATGAAAGTAAGACGTAACAATATAATCATAAAACTGTCGTCAAGTTTTGTCACAAAAGATGAAGGGCCTACATAATGAAAAAGTGAAATTTATTATTAAAGAGCATTGGAGTTTCGACATGGAATTAGACAGTTATGGTCCAATAAATTGAAAAGGCTCCAAAGAAGCTTTTTTTTCTTCTGCTTTTATTCATGTTAATCTCGTCTTTACTTACCAATCACTCAAATTAACTAAAATAGAAGAAGTAAATGCAACAAAAACTAGCGAGTGAATATCGTGATGATGGCAACTCAATAAAAATACTTATCAATGACTTATATTTTTTTGTGATACCTTTCTCTTGAGAATTACGTGCTTGAAAAAGAATTTCATATTAATGACACAAATAGAAAGACAAGATAGTATATTTTAAAAAACTTAATAAAATTAAAAATACGCAATCATTTATGACTGAGATTACGTTTTGACTTCTGTCAATAAAAAATGCTCTCTCTCTCTCTCTCTCGAGAGAGAGAGAGAGAGAGAGAGAGAAAATGGCTCAAAAAGATAAATTTATTTATAAAAAAAAAAATTTAATAAAAGAAAATACAAACACGATACATAAACACGTTACTTAAAAATGCAAATCTGAAATTTAATGTAATTTCACAACGATAATTCCAATGTGTAGTTATTAATATAATCTGATATGAAACGCGAAAAAGGTTATCCCAGAACTTATTATTATATATAATTAAAAACTCAGAAACTCGGGTGGAACTATAGGACTAATTATATAAATATTCTAACCTGACTATCTAGATGATAATAAATTAGATATCGCTAATGTGTATTGATATACGATATCTTTTGGTATTTCTGCCATTCGCATTATTGATCATTATTCATCGTTCTAACTCCAATAAAGAATAACAGAATAATGGACTGACCATAATTTTTTAAAACCTCAGTGATGGCAAATGATCGCCATTTTTAAATGACCTCTGAATGACCTTCGAATGACCTGGTCATTTGGGTCACTTGCCATCACTGCAAAACCTATACTCAAATTCTGACTTAAATTCT